GAAGAGGAAGAGGAGAAGAGGAAAAGGAAGAGGAAGAAGAAGAAAGAGAATAAAGAGAAGGGCAAAAACGAGAAGGAGTAAAAGGAAGTACAGTTTGCTTGATCACACTTAGTCTTATCGCTGGTCTTTCTATTTCATCATATTTTGCCTCTAGCTCTATTTGGTTTCGTTTTCTGTCACTTTGAAATGTTAAGTATTTTCAAGTCTTAATGAATGGATTTCCTCGCGAACCTGTATCGTGACTTCAACAATAGCAGAATCTTTAAGGGGTATTCCAGCAGCCTCGTTGCCATGGAGATCCGACACAGTGATTAACAATGAGTACGACGCTCTTTTTTCTCTATCTAGCGCTTTCGTTGTTGCTATGGCACCGGTATCGCGGTTGATAACAAAGCTGTTGTCAAGGTTACCACTTTCGATGACGTAGGATAGGTGCGCATTGATGCCAAGGTCCGCATCAGTTGCCTAGAGAAATAAATAATTGATTAACTAAATGCAATGAAATTGAATCCGGTTACCATGGAGATCGTTTTAAGAGGAATGTATATTTGTCCATGATCCTTTGCGCTCTTTACAAAATAATAAGTTTTTTTGAAGAGCCATACAGGTTCGAGRTCCAAGAAAGTAGGGTTTTCTTACCAAAACAGTCAGAATCACTCGCGGAGGACTCTTTTCCAGCACTGTTACTGTGTAACTCCGCTGACCAAACTTGGGCCTGTGATCATTGATGTCCGTAACGTTGACAGTCACACCAACTTCTGCCGAGAGTTTCGGGGAGCCCGAGTCTTGCGCAAGAACTTGTATTGAGTGGGTTTTGACGGTTTCYCGGTCCAAGATGGCAGCCGTCTTTATAATACCCCTTGTGCTGTCGATGGTGAACCTGTACCAAGAAAAGAAAAGTTATTCTYGTAGTTCTATGACACGCAACTGCACGCAGTAGCGACACAGTCATGACACGCGGAACTGAATATATCTTTCAAGCCAATCACAGCACGCGAGAACACTGGTTATCAATCAGGAAGCTCACGCACAGCACCGTCAAGGTCACTGCACAATATATCCRCGTTGTTAAATTTTTCAACTTCTTTTAGAAGTTGTGTAGAGTTTGTGTTAATCTTTACTTATTTCRATTTATTGTATAACTACTTACTTAGTATAGTCTTGAACAGCTTTGAGAGAATATACAATGTTAGCATTTAATCCCTCATCACGGTCGGTGGCCTGGGTTCAATAAACAAACCAATCAAAATCAAATAGGTCATATGTAGTGCACATGCTCAAAACGTCTTCTGGTTGAGGTTTCTATCTTTTGGTATTCTTTTAATGCATACTGAAAAATGCTTTCAGTGTCTTAGACGATTAGAAAATGAAAAGGGGGGGAAATACCTTAAACTTAAATGTACTCTTATAGCATTCGCCTTATTTTTTCCTATCCAAATTAATCTACCTAAAAGTATATCTATAATTGATAGTTAAACTGATAAATTTTATTTTTTTGCTTGATTAACTTAGGACCATACTTCCAGACATCGAGTGCTGAACCGTCGTATGGCAGCGCGAAGCATTTACGGCTACGCCGGAGATTTCGACCCCGATACCGCTATCCGAGGACTTACAGACTCATCAGGAAGCTCGGCCGAAGCCTAGAAAGAGATTAGTCGGCCCCTAGACYGTAGATGATTAACCCCTTGCTATGACCAGCAGGCCCGATATGTCGTATGTTTCTCTGAGGTCTAAAAACACATGTGTACGCCTTTCCATGTGGGATGCATTTGAAATACTACAAACACATACAAACTCGTGGTAAAAATCCAAGTAATCCAAGTATCATTTTCTCATAATTTCAAAAACTAGAAAAGGTAGTTTTAACAGAAAAACATCCATGGAAAGGATGAGAAAATACATACGTGCGCAGAACCAACGTGCGTTTTGAAAACCTCATTAAATATTCAACCGTCTGGATTGAAACAAAACCTTGGATTAATAGCCAATTCCTGCCGGCTTACCTTAACAGTACCAACATCTAATCTTATGGATCCTTCATTCACAGCAAACACGTACCCTCCAGGATGASAGAACACTGGCTTGTTATCGTTTACGTCTTGTACCAAGAGTATCAAAAATGACGTCACCGACTAAAGATATATAAGACAATATGAGGTAATTAACACGAAAAGTACGAATGACTTTTGCTACTCAATGGAACTTTTGAGTTGTGGAGTTTTTCCAATTGCCCACCAAAAAAAATATTCTCACTTATTTAACCTTCATCTGGAACATTTAAAACTTTTAAATAAATTATATCATGAAGAAAAAGTGAAAAATATTTTCTATACGATTGACGTAACACTTTCTAAAAGCTCCATAAAATAATTTCTTATAACGGCACGTTACCGTCAAAGTAACGAACTGATAACATTTTTTAACCAATCACAATGCGCGAGATCAATTCTCGTCCAATGAAAATTCTCAAAAATAGCACCGTCAGCACGGTTACGGTACCACACGGCACAACAATACGTACCGTGGGGTTTTAATGATATTTATTCTATGTATCGTGTTAAAACTTTAGTCACCAACCTTCCCTCCACCATCGGTTGCTTGGATACCAAGAGTATAGTTTGATACAGATTCTCGGTCTAGTGTTTTGACAGTCGTGATAACACCGCTGGAAGAAAAGAGCAAAATATGACTTGTTTTTGTTGATATTTATGTTCTTTGGTTATTTCAAGGGTTGGTTGGTTGGTGGGTGGGTTGGTGGGTTGGTGAGTTG